TTTCGACTCGTCTGACCACAAAATTTTGTTTAAAATCTCGGGATCTTCTTGAATTCGTACCAATAACCATTCGCATAATTCAGTTCGTCTTATTTGATCACCATCTCGCAACTCATGAACTTTTCTTTGTGCATAGGGATGCCATTTATTTAGTGCTAAAATTCGTTGTATTGACCCTCGACTAATATTTAAATTATCTTGAGCCATTCTAATGGAGGCGTGAGGATACGCAGTAAAATACCCTAATACGTTAATTAGATTAACTTCTTCATCTCGGACATAATGTTTACGGTTTCTTCCCGGGTTTTGTTTAAAATTATTCAAAAAGTTAGCTTCGATTCTATCAAATTTCTGTCTGTTCATTGGTGGTAAATGAGGGTATTGTTCATTAAACATGCGGCAGGTTTTACTTTTGATTCGATTACATTCTCCATGAATGTAAAATAAATTAAGAATATCTTGGTTGTTATATTCTTCAATATTTTCCATATTTTCCATATTTTGAACGCAAAAAATACACAACTTAAATACATAGAAATATGACAATTCAGTTTGTTGACAGATTGTTGTTTAGCATATTTCCACGGCATACTAAGATAAAAAATTAAAATGTAAAACTATACTATATTATGTAGGTGCATGCGTAAAATTTAAATTTAAATTTTCTTAAAATTGGCGAGAGATAATTATAGGGAATTAATAGTGCAAATGAAGATCAATGAAGAATAATTTTCTGAACAAAATGAAATAAAAATGTACAGGATTTTCCATTTAAAATAAAAAAAAATTTCATGTTTAAAATATATATTTTTCAAAATAATTTCCAAACACACAGTCGAACAAACGATGCACAAGTAAATTTAAAAAAGCAAATGTCTGCCGGCATATAAAAGTTTATAAAAAACTGAATAACGCCAAATACACTATAATTAGAATAGGCGAATGGGGTATCATTGTTTACAGAATTTTATGCTAAATCTAAAATTTAAAAAATATATAGGGTGTTCAATTTAAAATAAAAAAGTTTTTTATATTTAAAAAATTTCATTTTTAAAAATAATTTGCAAACACCCCGTACAACAAATAATGAATAACTAAATATTCTCAAGAAGTACATCCCATCTACTACCTCTGGTTAAAATTTTAAGTATCTGATAGATATAGTACCTCAGATAGACGACTTTAAGAAAATGTCTACCGGCGACTAAAAATGTAGAAAAAAATTGAATAACGCCAAATCCGCTATAACTAGAATAGGCAAATGGGGTATCGTTGTTTACAGAATTTCATGCTGAATCTAAAATTAAAAAAATATATGGGGTATTCTCTTTAAAATAACGAAGTTAGTGGTCACTTTCGGTATAAGCGGAAGTTGCACAGAGTTCATTTTGTTTTAATTCAAAAGAGCATATTCGATTATGTATACTCAGAAAATGGCGAAAATACAAATTAATTTATTCTCCATAAAGTTGTAATGCCCGCCTTACGTGGGACACGGTGTATATCAGTGCTATTTGTATAAAATAAGTTTATAGAGGTCAAAATCTAAAAAACTTTACCAACAAAAATTGTTATTAAATTTGAACCAGCTTATATTAATATACCACATTATTAACGATTAATTTTTTGTCATCAAAAAGATTTTATCCTAAAAGCAAAAAAGAATAAAACTAAACAAAAAAATAAAAACGTGCATGCTCCGAGTTAAGTCATAATCAGATTAATCGACGTAGCAGATGTTGTGTGTCGCATAGAAAAATTAGTTTAAAATATTTCCCTTTTTAAAAAAGCTTCCATGCTTTTTCAAAGTTGCACTAATGAAAGTTTACAACCGCTCTGCTAACGCCCGAACTTTTTTCCTTCTTTACTTTTTATTTTGTCGTCTTCCTTTTTATTGCGTCCAACTATTCTTTTCAGTTCCAGGAGCGGTCTCAGAATAGTTTGTTTTAGGATAAACAAATGTATATACAGTTCATCAAATTTCTAGAGGTGTTCGACGCCCAGACAGAGAACGCGCTACGTGTGACTAAGATAGCTATTGTACAGTCTGCTAAACAAGTTATTTTAAATAGTTTTTAATATTTTTAGGTAATTAAATTTTAAAAGTGTGGAATAGTTTAGGGATTAAATTGGTCTGATTGGACTTTCTTAGAACGTTTTTAAAAGCAGCTAAAGATAGTATGTAGAATTGAAAATAATTATTATGCCATAAAAGGTGTTTTGGAATTCCTTCAACCTTTTGAAATTGAGTCAGAAAATATAAATTTTATAGGATAGCGGAAAATACCTATAATTTTTTTGTAGGCCTTTGTAAATCGTGGAAATAGTTTATATTTTATTTCTACCTTATTAAGGAAAATGGTACCTATTATTAATAACGGTTGTTTCTGAAACATTACTAAAATTTTCGAAATTTTGTTTTTCTACAAAATAATAAACTATACTATTTAGAAAAAAATTTATTTCTCTTATAATTTTATAAAAAATAACAGGGGAATATTTACATTTCTTGATCTATTAAACAAAACGATAAATTATCTCGACGAATGACACCATGTTCTAGTACGGAAGCTAGCTTTACATTTTTGTTGGTGGTTTCATGGGTTTCATATCAATTTTTTGTGATTGTAGTTTACACGTACATATACCTCTTAACACTTGTTTGCTTTATTAAAAAAGTGTGTTGTTGTGATTTATGTCGAAATAAGTCAAAAACAACTTGAAACCCCATATAAAATCAAAAAGGAGAAACGGAAAAAAATTGAGCCTGTAAATGAACACAACTCAGAAACAAAAATAGCTATCTAATAATAAAAAAATAAAATTTGATTCTTGTGCAGCTTCATCTATATCATTAACTGTTTTTTTGGTTTTTTAATGGTTTTTCTTGGTGATGAAAATTCCGATATCTCACGGTTATCGATTCTTTTTTTCTCTCCAGAAATGCGGACGACAGTGTTTTTAGATACTCCTGTGGCTGCAGCAACACGATCATTTACATTTTTAAATGGTATTGAAGGTGAATTAAAGTTTCCTTCTCTTCTCATAAACTCTATAACATTGGCTATTATTTCGCGAGATTGACTGTTAATCACGCGGCCTCTTGATTTGCTATTAAACTCCATACTTAGGTTCTATTAAACTGTAATGAGCAAAAAACACAAACGAAAATAAAAGAAATGTTTTAGCGAAATTTACATCTGACATTTACGTCTGAATGAAATAGTGAAATACTTGAAGCGCAGAGTGTACTTTCATTGCGTAAATCCGTCGGGATGCCTGTCAGTAGTGCTTTCTCTGTCTAGAAATTTGATGAACTGTACTATTTAAAATATAGTAAGTGTAGACAATCGTTGCCCTAACCTCAGTATAGTGTTTGTGTCGACGAGATAAATTTCTTCACCCAACTTTTTTAATACTTTTCTCCACGTTTTTGACCATTTTAAGTCCAGAATATCGTCCGGTCGTCTGTACATGCGTATGTATAGCGGATGTATGTGCAGCGACACGATAACTCGAAAGGTTTTGATTAAACGTAATAATGTTTGCCAGTCAATATTGATATTTAGAATATTAGGTGTACGCGAATTACTCAACAGTACAAGCACTAATGGTAGATAACTTGTACTAGAAAGAAAGCAATCAATATAAATGCGAAATAATATTAATAGAAAAACCAATATGTTGGATGAAAGATCATAAAAAAATCCTAATCTTATAACCTTCTTTATAGTCAAAGGTATATCAAAGAACTGCATATTTATGAAAGGAGTTAGGAATGTGAACTTAGATCATATATCATTACCCTATACTTCTTACATCAAGAAATGATTTATTTCAATAATAAACTCCTTTGACATTAGTTATTAAACAAACAAATTGGAAAAACTTCAGAGAGAATAAATTCGAGAATAAGTATTCAAGTAGTAAAAATGGTAACCCCAGAATGTTTCTAGTTGTTGTATATTAGTGAATTTGGTGTCTTTGTTAATTCCATTAGAAATTGAAATTGAGAATCACCTAGTTCTTGCTGAAGAGTCCTATTGAGGACGAAACGGATCCAAGAATGACGTTCTCTTTAGTAAGTAAAATCAAAAGTAGAATGTTATAATTAAATTTCTATATCTACTGCCTTTCCTTTGGATACAATTCAGTACCTGTTACGGTATTATCCAAAGGAGTGGTTGTTTTCCAAAGGGACACGTTCGCTCGTATCTTATGTGATATATGGCTTTTAATTTATAGTTTATTTACTAAAACATGTATTATATTGCTACATTAATTGAGGTAAAAAATAAACGTTTAATCACATAAACTTGTATACGATAATATATTTGTATATAACTATAATGCTCCAAGATGGCGCTAACTGAGGCGAACTTGCAAAGTGGCGATGAATGCAATTATTGTTAAATTAGTGTAAACACTAGTGTAAAATGTGAAAATTGTAATTCAACATACCACCCATCATGCGCCCAAAGACTAAACCCAGTAAATGATGCAAACTTAAAATTACTTAAAATTTATTAACAGAAGAACAAAAAAGTTCTAACCAATTGATGAGAGAGAAAATCACTTCTTTAGAAATAGAACTGAATAACTAACAAACTAAATATTCCGAACTACAAAAAAATTTTAATGAACTGAAATTAAAATTAGACAAAACAAACACAAAAAATGTGGCACCTTTAAACTTGATCAATGTCAATAACCAACTATTAGGGATTTTACTGTAAAAATGCATATACTTGATAAGATCGTATTCTAGTGTCTTACGATATGTGCTCTATCGTTCTATCAGCTGTCAGCTGGGCTTAGTGAATCCCTGGAATTTAATATTAATAAATAATCATAAATATTTTTTGTGAGTTTCGTGGGGCCGTAGCCCTGATGATATTTTAGTAATAAACTAATTATGCCTCCTTTAAAAAGCAATGTTTGGAATTTTTTCGTTAAAACTAATTGTGGTGGAAATACGACAAATTTAAAAAAAACATTTAATGAGAAAACATTCTATTTCAAGTGATGAGAAAAAAGAAAGACAAGAACAAGGTGCTCCTTTATTAAAAAAGAAAAAGGTAAATATTCGATGTTTAACGACTTTTTCATCCTCGCTTAAAGTTTTCTCTTACTAGTTCCAAATCTGAGCTTCTTTAAATGATACAATACAAAATAGAAAATAAAATAATTTAAAAAGTTCTTACTTTTCAATTGTTTATTATTTTAGCCTATCAACCAAGCATTGGATATTGATGGAAATTATGTAGAAACCGCTGATAATAGTGACAACTCAGCGGATGTTGACTCACATTCATTAACTTCAACTGCATCTATATCAACAATAGTTTCTGCGGAATCTTTCGACGATGAACCCATGCCTTCAACTTCAAGTTATTCGGGCAAGTCCTCCATGACTTTGTCACGCCAATCAACAATAACTGAATCATTCTCAAATATAAAATCATTCTCAGGTAAATATTATGTAATCTATTTTGTTAAAATTTGTTATAATTAGAATAAAAGAAAATAATTACTTCATAACATATAAAAATTTCGAGAAGTAACTCATAAGGTGGAACAATATAGCTAGAAAACTTTTTTAATCTTGATTTTAGGAAAAAGCAATTCTTTATAAAAAGTTCTGCATGGTGTGAAACCTAAAAGGAAAATGTTAGGCATCATTTTTTTAGTTACATACAATGTTTGTCAAAAAATATTCTAATGTATTTTTAAATTTTTAGATGGAGGTACAAAAGCTGGAAAAATTACTAATGCAATTACATTCATGATAGCAAAAGACAACTTACCATTGAATACTACGGAAAAGGAGGGATTTAAATATTTAATGAAGACTATTGCTCCGATGTACCAAATACCTGGACGCAAAAAGGTGGCCAGTCTAATTGAAGAAAAATATGACTTATTATCAGGTATGTTTAAACAAAAACTAAAAGAAATATCCTACATCAGTCTCACAACAGATGTATGGACAGAAACCATGACGACAAAAAGCTTTTTGGAAGTAACAAGCTCCGAGCAATTACTTATAGAGGGAGCGTGGAAACGAGTTTGTAGGCGAATGTTGTGTTAGCAACATCTGTAGAGGAAGTGAGGAAGCGGGCACAAGGGGGAAGGTAAACATCCTTCTTGTTCAGTGGCGTATCATTTATCTATAAAAACACACATTGTCCAAACGTTTTAATTGTAAAAAAAAAAAACTAAAAATTTTGCTAATTTTACTATTTTTAAAATGAATACCGTCTTATGTGTGTCTAATGCAGGAAAAGAAACAAAATCACTGTAAAGGTCTAATTTTTTCAATTGAAGAATAAAACCTTAAAATCAATTTTATTATAAATACAGGAGCGACTAGTTTCGGCCTTACAGGAACATCTTCAGGCCTGTAATACAATCATCTTTAATTATTATAACAGGTTGGTTGGTTATAATAGGAAACCAGTAGAACCATCAATTGGTTGGTAAAATTTTGATATTTTGAGTCTGGTAAGTCTTGTTAAACGTTCTTCTTAGGAAGCTATAACCTTATGGAGAATAAAAGTTTAATGTTAGATTAAAAGCTCTTAATTGAGAATTATATTTGCAAATGCCGTTTTAATAATATTTTCAAAAGTTCTTGGAATCGTTGTTAACAGAAACCTGCAAAAAATATATAATTTTATTCCTAAAATATAAGATATCACACAATGCACATTCGTATATTATTGTGCTAGAAAAATACTAGGTAGTTACTATGACAATTTAAAAAAAGTATTTCGAGAAACTCAACTTTTAATGTCATCATTGTACTTAACTTTTTTATTGCTAAATTATTAATAATGTCATTTTGTGTAGTTCGTTGTGATTTTTATAATATATATTATAAAAACCTATTGTCAATGTTAATGTGCCAAGTTTTTTTAATAATTATGTCCTTATTATAGTAAAAACACATTTAAACACATTTTTAAAGTTTTCTGGATTTCTGCTTTAAATTATCGTACAATTGAACTGACTAATTGTTTAAATAAAGGTATATCTCTTTTTTGTTATAATAGTTTTTGTATATTGTTCTAACTTTTTAGATAATCACAAAAAACAGTAAGACATCCTAATATATCCTATTTCACCAACGAAAATGTAGAATAATTAATTTCACATCAAACGAAAAAAGTAATTTTAGGATGTCCTAATAGGTTTTAACTTAAAAACTAAATAAAATGTATATTGCAACTGTGTTTAAATAAATGAATGTTTTTATACCTGACTATAGCACCAAACAAACATTTTTTTAGATCATAATGATCTGCATAACTCAAAATAGTCAAAATTCACATTATTTAAGTTGTTCTAGTATTGTTTTAGCATAACGATGGTAACTCCAATAATAAATATTCACATTTTTTTGGGATGTTTTTTAAGGAAATTAAAAAAAACACATGAATAATGAGATATTCTTATTTAGTTTTGTACTATATAATATAGTTCATTAGGTAGTGATTTAGAAGCAAATTATGTTCTATTTATAGAATAAAAAATCACTCATAATATCTAAATATTTATACCTATTTATATTTTGGACAGGAAGACTATTTTATGTTTTTGGCTCTGAATACTTTTCTTAAGAATTTTAAAACCTTCCTTAGCTCTTTTGGGATATTCCATGCATATCTTAGAAGTTCATTTTGTTTAAACCTAAAACAAATTAAGTACAAAAAATGAACATTTAAGCAATACACAAAATTAGTCTTTTAGATTAGTTAAAAAAAAGTGTCAACAAAAAAATAGCTATGCCTTTTTCCTTAAACATTCTTTTTGAAAGAAACTTAAGTTTCTCTACTTACTTACTGTTTTAGTATTTTAGTAGCAGATGAATATAGTGTAGAAGTAGTGACAGGATTTATTATTATACTTCTTTCGTCGAAATTGCATTTTTGAATTCCTATCTTTTGGAACCATGTATTTCTTTCTCATATCAAGAAAAGGAAACCTAAAAAAAATAACAATAAACTTTACAAAGATGTGATATTAAAATAATAATAATAAGTAATTAACCTTTACTATAATCATTATGAGACGGATAAAGACGAACTTAGCTGGAGTGTACTTGCTCTTAATTTTAATTTTTCGATAAGAAAATAAGAAAGTTTAATTGCAAATTAAAGGTGATTGCCTAATGCACCGCCTCTGATAATTAGGTTGTGTCTGTACTTACTTATGATATTATCTTGAAGAAGCATTTTCAACAGGCCTTTTACGCATAAAGCATGTTTTCACCATATTATTAGAGATAATAAATCTTAAATATACATTTACAACCCTTACAACGTTATAAATAATAATATTTTTCGTAAAATACAAATAAGAAATTGACATGTGTCAGAAAGTGTCAGAACTGGCGCTCACAGAACACTTCTGGCGCTGTCAAACTTGGCAACGCTGATTAAATAAGCCAATTACAGAAGAGGTATTTTCCCCCTCGGGGGGAGTAGATGTTGCTAACAAAATTTAGCGCGGGGAAGGGGGGAAGACTCCCTCTAGTAGTAATTGCTCGGAGGTGACAAGTCATTTTTGTTTGAAAATAAACTAACACCACTTACAATTGGAGTATTTGAACTAGATCAGCGACATTGAAAAAACAAACATCTTCCTTGTTTTGCCCATACTTTGGATCTAATCGCTTCGAAAATTACGAATGATACCGAAAAGATAAAACTTGTTATATATAAAGTTAAGGCCATTGTTAGTTATTTTAAACAAAGTGTTGCAGCGGCTGACGAACTCAGGAAAGCACAGCCAGCTGAAAATATTTTAAAATTAATTCAATCTGTTCCAATTAGATGGAATTCAAAGTTTTATATGCTAGAACGATTTTTAAAATTATACGAATGTATAGCACCAATATTATTAAAAAATCCGAAGTCTCCAGCTATAATTGATGCATCTGACTTAGAGGTAATAAAAGAGGTATTGACAATTTTATCACCTATTGAGGCAGTATCTAAAGAAATGTGCGGAGAAAATTACTTGACATCTAGTAAAATAATTTCTGTAGTTAATTGTCTAATAAAACGGATTGAGACCTTGTCTCCTTCAACTGAAGAAGTACTTGCTCTAAAGCCATCAACCTCAAATGAAATGTATAAACGCTTTGGAGCTATAGAACAAAGTAAATTATTACCCCCGTTTTAAAAGACTTCATTTTAATAAACCAGTGCAAATGCTGTATCCTTTATAAATCAGTCAATACAATTACATAAGCAGCACACTATTGACAATCCACTACTGCAGCAATCAAATATTAGTAATTCTAACCCTGGCAGCATATGGACTTACCATGAAGAATTAGCCATGAAATATGCAGAAGAAAAAGATGATGTAAGAAGTGACCTTGACTTTGAATTTAAAATGTATTTAAACACGCCAACAATACCTCTAGCATCAGATCCGTTTGTTTACTGGAACACCTACACTTCAGATTCATTAAGAGAACTAGCTAAACAATATTTGTCAGTTGTTGGAACATCAGTACCCTGCGAAAGGCTGTTTTCCAAAGCTGGAAATATTATTACCCCTAGTCGTAACAGAATTAGTTCAGAAATGTTAACAAAATTATTATTTTTATATTCATTGAACTATGAGGACTAGAATTTGTAAGAATTTTCCATTGTTTATTTTTTTTTGTATTAGACTTTGTATTTTTATGGATGGATGGTATTAGACTGTTTTTTTATGTCCTTAGGAATGTTAGGATATCTAAAATAATTATTGGGTTTTGACTTTTTTATTTCTTAATTTTTAGTTTTAAAAAGTATCTAGATTATTATATAAACCGCACAATTGTACTGTGTACTTTGTGCGTTATTTTATATTGATTTTGTATATAATGATTTTTAAAATGGCGAATAAATGTTTTAATAAAAAAAAATAATATTATCTGTCTGCCTTCAATTTATTACTACTACCTGTCAAGCCCTAATAAACTTGGGAATGACTTAAATACCTACTAAAAACCTCGGATCGTTAAACTATCGATATTTCGAGTATCGATACATCAACATTCGATATTTTACTGCATCGATACTTTACGTTCCGATCCGCATCGATACCTAATATCGATACTTTTAAGTGTATTACGCATCCCTACCAACTAAATCCTGCCTTCCACTAAGCTGCCTTAATAGGTAATATTGATATGTGTGGCATGGGTGTGACATGTATCAATATATTATGAGTTGGAGTTAGTATGTAGTGCTTCCAAGGCGCTACAATATGATATGTGAACTATGCAGTATTGTCCGCTCTACTGGAAATGAAGTGATACAAACTTAATATGTTGAATTAAAATATAAACCAACTCAACCAATATAAATAGGGAGGCCTGGAAAATTATACAAGAAAACAGAAAAACAGAGAATAGACCATAGAATTAAATATCAACAATGAAAACACCAAAGAGAACAATGTATTAATAAACTACTTTAATGACTTCTTTGCGAGTATTTAAAAACCAAATACAAACTATAACAAAATACAACTTGCACCTTTCTCAGAATGTTCACTATTTTTATATCCAACCATACCAAAAGAAGTTCATGGGATTATAAATTCTGTAACAAAAAAAAGTGCCCCAGAAAAAGATGATATAATTTTGATAAAATCTTGTTCTGCTTTTTCAGGTTTGTCTATGAAAAATAAAGGACCGCAGTATCATCTGCAAAACTGTATATTCTTCCGAAGCAGTTTAGGTTAAGCAATTTATTTGGAAAGACAGAAAACAAAAACGGTCCCATTATCGTTCCCTAAGGCACCCCATAATGCAAATACCTTTAAATAATTACAGATCAATTAATTTTTACAAGTAGCGATCGATATTTTAGATAGTTTCAAGGTAGATTATGTGCTACACCCGCAATCTCAATTTACTCCAATGCATCAAGTAGTTGCAGATGGTCTACAGTATCGAACGCTTTGCTAATAGTATAGTGCTATTCGTAACAAAACCGATAGAAACGAATACTGTAGGGGGTAAGTGTCACAAGCTAAATGAGTAGTGAATTAAAATATTATAACACTAATGCTTTCAAAGCATGAGCAACAAGTTTAACCCTCTAACCGGAATATTTTTGTTTAAACCCATAATTTTATATAGGGGTAAATTGACGGCACTGATCACGAAAATAAAGTCCATTTTGCGATGAGTTAAATGGTTTGATCTCCAGGTGCAAAAATAGGTATGCCGACAAAAGGCGGGTATTCCGTTAAAGCTGAAGTTTCGTAAATGACAAAAGGCGGATAGTCCGTTGAACGTATCATAAAATAGAAGACAGGTTGTAGTATTTTGTTGTTTATTTTCACACTAAAAAGGGTAAATTATATAGATAGTATAAGGAAAAATACGATAAAAGGTAATAATATTAGAATAAGTAACAATAAGATAAGGAGAGGTATAAAAAATTTTACTTAGGCAGAAAAAAACAATAATTATGGTTTGTATGCCAGCATTTTCTATTTGAAGTTAGATACAAATTGCAAATTGCACGTTCTTTTGCTACTACGGTCTATTTGATCTGAGCGATGACCAATGCCATCGAATCGAGCATCCTCTGGAATGTCATACGTAAGACGTACACCAGGTGATTATTTCGCTGCTTTTTTAGTGACCTGAGATGGTCGATCAACTGGTTTCCTGTCTGGAAGTGTCTGACTCATCATCAACGACCAAGCAACTTCGGTTCTGAAAGTCGCCAGGTCAGGATAATCTGGTCGACTTGCATGAATGCGTAGATGCAGAAGATAGGCTATTATCAACGACATATCCAACATAATAGAAAATAACTTTAAGAAGGCACTTTTGGTCTTCAAACGCATGTGGTACCGACCCATTATACCATCCATCAGATCAACACGACCAATGTGATGAGTGTATTCCCAAATGATTCGAGTACAGTTAATTTCACCGTAGGTCTTTTCGGTTCGAGAGTAACCGGCGACTTTTTCTGGTTGTCTATTCGGATTCGCATAACGAAAAGATTTCACTCCTACATACGTCGAGGCAAGACGTATAGCTTTATTGTCTTTCCAGATAACGGTTGACACCTCAACACCATTAATGTCAGCTGTAAATTCTTCAGAGAAGCCTCGAGGTTTATCTTTCCATGTCTTGCTGCTCTCGGAGATCATCTTGTTGTTAGGAATCCGATTGGATCTAATTGTTCCCAAAAAATAGATTTATAAAAATGATCAAAGTGAAGTATATAATTTTTATTCTTGGGAATTGTCTCAGCTAAACGAACTGCAACATTTCCAGTTGCTCCTAAATCTGGTTTGTCAGGGAGTACCACGTTGTCGTTTTTACCACAATAAATTTCAAAACGGTAAGAATAACCTGCTGAATCATGCAATACAAAGAGCTTCATCCCTCATTTGTGGAGTTTGTTCAGCATATACTGACGAAAACTGCTGACCATTTTTGTCGAGCACATTTGTTCATCAATGCAGAGCCGAGGCAATTTAGGAACATCATCGTATTTATCATTCAAGCCACTTTCCGAATTTTGAACAGCGGATCAAGCTGGATGATTTATTGGTGTCATCTGCAAAAAATCATTGAAACGAATGTGGCATCGAATGTCATAAAACATATTGAAGACAAAGTGATTGGAGATCGCTGGAAATCCTTCTTGTCCCCAGTAAGCCTCCACTTTTGGATAACGATGTACGGACATGAATATTAGATACGCAATATATTTTTGCAACGAAGATTTATCCATCAAGAATTTTGTGTTGATATTACCTTGTCTGGTACCCAAGTTGGAGAGGTCAACTATCATTTTAAGTATCTCATCACTCACTAAAAATTGTAAACAGTGAAGTGGGGATTTCAATTCCTGGAACCTTTTGGGAAGACTGCTATCGCCGTGGAAGGCCACTTCATTTTTGTGAAAGTATATTGACTTTTTTCTCCATCTTATCTCCGTAAATTCTTTAGATTTTGGCCGTATTCCCGCATTTCTGTGCAAAAAAAAACTGACATATATGCACTAATTCACACTGTATTTATCAATTATTTCATTTGCTATAAATAAAAATCGTTTAACTACGATAAAACACGGATAAATAATCAAGAAACAGATTAATATAAACAAAGGAGTATCAATTACACGTTAAATCATTTGTGCGTGAAAACCTAGCGTACACGGGAATACCCGACAAAAGGCAGGTACCTAATATTTCAATCAAATCACCATTTCTAATTTAAAAAACACATAAGATATTATGAAAGTATATAGTAAATTCAACTTACTAATATTTTTTTTATTCCGGTAGCACCAAGAGAAATATTTTATTTAATTTCACAAAAAATATCAATTTTTAACCCTAATTTATATGTGTGCACTCACAAACAGATGAACTTCACTTGGCGATAGGTCCAAAACTCGAAGCGGTACAAATCTCAAATTTATTACATACAAATTTATTAAGTAAAGTGAGAACTAACAAATGTCTTTTTATCACGTTTCGGCGAAAAAAATTGTTACGTACCTGATGCGAACAAGTAAATTACCCGAAGGCCGCCTTTTGTCGGACATTCCGGCTAGAGGGTTAAGGCCTCGACGCGCAGCAGAGTGGCCTTAACGTTGCGAATGCTCTAAAGGCGATTATGCATTGTGTCATTTTTAGTATAAATGCGTATTTACAATAGTAATAATAGTAATAACTACAATCATTTTAATGTTAGCGTATATGTTGGAAATGTCCAGAATTTACAAAACTTCGTCACTTTGGTGTATTCATTCAAAACTGCAAGCTATGCTAAGGGTTAAAAATGGAATAGATTTAGTATCTTATTGCATTTATAAAACGAGCGAGCAAAGGTTAGGAAATCAAAAAATCTTTAGTTTTTACCGAAGTCAGATTCCAGACAATACGTTTTCATTTTTAAAAGTTGATGCCATTTGTGGAATTTTTGGCATCTGCAGAAGAAGCGAAATGTGTAATTTGCTTATGAGTGACATAAAAAGAGAATGATCTGTTTTAATAATTCCTATTTGTCCATCAAAAACAGAGAAAGGCTGAAAGATCGTTGTAGTTGATGATTCCAATATTAGTAAGTATCTTGAACTAAGTCTGAAATATTTTAAATAAGTATTTATAAAACAAGTTGTTGGAATTAAAACATTTGGAAAGTGCTCTTTCCTTGTATCACGTTTTCTAAACTTACCAGACGCGAAAAAATACATGGTAATATTGACGAGTCTATAACAAACAAATTTGACGTTTCAAAATGAATTGCTGGAGCTATCGAGAAAGGAAGCAATATTGGATCTAACATTTTTGTAAACACTGATAAGAGCATTGAAAATTCAAAGAGCAATGCTGCTGCGGTAATATAACAATAACAAATAATCAACATTGCACGTTTAATAATTTTTTCTGTTCATGTTACTTGTTTTAAGGTATTATTGTAAACAATTTGATTAATTTGATAATTCAAAATAAAATCTGACATAATATAATATTATTTATTGAAGCGGTTACCTAGCAACCTTTATAGGCACGGCGTGCGATAAAGACCCAATTATCACGCTTTTGGGTTTGTTGGTGATAATTTATAATACATGAATACTAAAAACTAATATTTTGAA